TGTCACAATTAAAGTGACCTTTGTTGCAATTCCACCATGGGAATTGTGTCAGAGACATTTCCCAATGAAACGTAACTCCACCTGTTACCATCCACAGCAGATCATGTCACACTTAAACGTCTCAGCTACTATGCTGGCATCTCACAGAGTTACAGGTAAACAACTGGAGATCTTCTAGCCCCACCTCCCCCAACATCCTACAAGTGTCATTCTCATTGTAACCCTAACCCCCCCCAGTGTGATCCAGCGCATTAAATAGACCTGTAAGGCCCTCAGGGTCAAACATCTTTAAACTCTTATTTTTACAGACGAGTCAAGTTAGCCCATATCATTTTTTTTAACAAGCAGGAAACTTCACAGGTTGTTTTCTTATGTTTGTTTGAGTTGAGTCTAGCCAGAGGATCAGTCAACTGACAGATACTGAAAAATAAAACATAATGCCCAGTCGTGGTTGGTGGAGAGACATTGAGAGTCAACAGACCGTTCTGTTCCCACATTGTTTAATCAGCAAAGTTAACAGACTCTTTAAGACCAATTCCTAATTAAAGGAAAAACACTTTTTCTGTCAGTAGGTAATAGGGGTGGAACGGTTCACAAAATCCACGGTTCGGTTCGGTTCACGGTTTCGTGGTCACGTTTTTCGGTTCGGTATATGTTGATTGTTACACCGAAATCCCATAAAAATTAATGAAATTGAAGAAAAAAAAATGTATGAATTGTAATGATTTTTAATGATCCGCGGAAACCCTGGATCATTTCCGCATGTTTTGCTGCTTTGAATTTAATCATCTCGCGCATGTCCTCTACGATCTCCAAGGAACTCAGAGCGGAGCGGACGGGAGCCACAGAGGAGGCTGTAGGCTTTGGTTTGTGCAGGCGGTCTGGTGCGCAGCGGGGCGGAGCGCTGACGAAGTATGTGGGATTTCGGGGTTAGCATGACATGTTGGTCATGTTGCTGTTAGCATAAACAAAACATGTTGCACAATGCGTGCACACTGTTGCACTTTTGTCCACAACTTTCTTTCCGCTGTCATCGTAGGTCACTCTAAATGCAAAGTGGTCCCATACAGCAGACCTATAAAGTGCTGCTGGCACGTCTTCCAACTCCTGTTCTTTCCCACTCGTCATACTCACACAATTCTCCACAACAACTGATTTTTTTCTGCTACACCAGGCTACGCGGCTTCGCTTCTTCTTCTTGTTTACTACTGGTGGTTGGCTTTGGTCGCATTACCGCCACCTTCTGCTCTGGAGTGTACACGCTTCGCCTATGAGAAAAAGGAGCTGCGCATGAACCGAACGCAACACACGCGAACCGAACCGAGACAGTCGAACCGAACAGTTCGGACGGTTTTCATAAACCGTTCCATCGCTAGTAGGTAAATACATTACACAAAAATAAATAAAATCACAGGTGGGCTCCTAAAGGGTCCATCCCTATTCAATAGTTACATGCAGCCTTCAGCTAAGATTATAATAAACCATTCAATTCAATTAAGTAAATTTATATAGCACCAATTCACAACACATGTCAGCTAAAGGCACTTTACAATTCACCAGATCATACAGTCAAAGTGATTAAAAGTTTTGGCCGTGGCATAACTACACAAAAAACACACAGTTATATATCACAATGTCACCAGGTTACTAGGAACCCATTCAAGGATAAAACAATGTTTATTGATTAATAAAAATAAAACTGAAGTAATAATTCATTGGCCACAGAAGCAACAATCAACATCAGCAAACAGCTTCATTCACTTGTCAACATAAACTTTACTTATAAAGTGCTTAAACAACAGCCAGGCTGAATAAATTGCTGTAAATCAAAGATAATCAGTGTGACATAAACCACTGATCAAACTCTAAATCTGAGTGTAAGGATGGAATCAAAACTGAACATTCACGGAGACATAAAGACTGTAACAAAGTTGGCCTTCAATCATCCAAAGAATATAAGGACCAATTCATTCCTTTATCTTTACTCATACTGAATACTAAAAAAGGTTCTTCACATATCCTTTTAGAAAAGGATACAGACAGAGGTGCATGTGCCCCACTTTTGGAGAACAAAATACATTTTTGCTGCCTGAAATCTTAAAAATATTTCATTGTATGAAATTGAAATGCTTGCAGCTCAGGTCTCGTGTTAATACAACAAACCAGCGGTCCAAATAGACCAAAACCACAGGGATAGAAAAGTCTGTTTTAGAGTCTTAAAAAACATATTACAGTTCAAAGAGAAATTTCAAGATTTCTTTAACACTTGGCTCTGAGACAAAGTACAGTATTATACTGTTGAATACTTTTATTCTGTTTGGATTTGAATTAAGGTTTATATTTTTCATTTTGTATTTTCAAGTTTAGGTTAATATGGTTTAGGTATGTGGGGTTCCCTTGTGTTTCAATTTTTTTTTTTTTATTCTACCTTTTTTTTTTAACAAATACGATTTGTTTGATGTTTTTAACATTTTGTGACTGATTGCTCAGGCAGTCCTCTTGCTCTAAGTTTTGTTAAATAAGCTCAGAGGTTTATTATTTATTTTATTACTTGACAGGAGGAACAGTAGCAGCTCAAAGACAAGGTTCCGCCTCTCACTCTATTTAGTCTCATGGAAACGCACTCGGTCCAATGTTTTTGAATGACTGTTCACAGGCGCGCGCGGGGGCACACGCATACACACAAACACACACAGAATTGACAAGTGTGCGCGCAGAGGAAAACCTGCGCTAAAAACGCACAGTTTCATAGAAAGAGCGGGGTTAAAGCCGCATGACAGAACACCAACAAAGGTTCGGTGTCACGACTCTGTTTAAAAGTCCAAACTTTAAGAAGAATAGGTGAGAAGGAGGCGGAAGTGACCTCATTAATGCTGACTCAAACTTACTTGGTGACGACGTGCTTGATGGGCTTGCATCAGGTAAAAAGGTCAGTCTGAGAACACCTGCGAGGTTTCATCGGAGGTTCGGATCAGCTGCAGCGAAGCTTCTTCTCTGAGCAGCAGGAAGAACTGACCTGCAGGAAACCCGAAACTACCTACTGCAGGTAGTACTTATGCCCCGCCCCCAGTCCTTTCTGCACGCACACACCTGCAGCTCACCTGCATCGCGCTACCCTCCTCCTGCTTTCCGACTCACTACCTCTGAGGAGAAGAGGCTCATGTGGGGTTCACCTCACTTTTAAGATTAGTTTAGCAGCTTAATGAGCATCTTAATGTGCAGTCTGGAGTGGAGACCTGGAAAGGATGAGAAACGGAACACAGCTCTGAGACTGTCCAGCTTTAAACCGTACAGATATTTAAATAGGTTGGTCTGAGAGTAGGAAACAGGAAGATTAACATCGGTTCAAAGGATAAAGCCTCTCATGTTTACTCAAGCTCATAATGCTTCATTTATGATCTCAAAGTTACTCATAACATTCATCGACTCAAATCCATCCACCTGTTCAGAAGCTGAAATCCAAAATGATCGCGGCATGTTTCTAAGCTTAGTGTAGGTCTTGAAAAAAAAAAGTTTGTCTTCAGAATAGATTTAGTGCTGCCACATACATTCCCCAAAGCATGGAAGAAATTTTGATATGCCTGTTTCTTCTTTAGCTTATTTAGTTCTTCTGTGTTTGTTTCCTCCAGTTTCTCTTGCATCTCTGCTATCCCCCTCATGACAAAATATATAGACACATGAAATGAACAATTGGACAATTTGGGGTGCAACAATCCATACATTCAAAGATTCTAGGTTTGTCTTATTAACGATAATAATAATATTCAACATATATAACAATAATACATTTTTTTTTAGCAGTTTTAATAAAACGATTATACTTTACAAGGTTATTGAGAGCTTAATAATGCGGATGAGGATCTTGAAGTATATGCTGCTTTATGGAGCCAGAGAAGGTGTTTTAGGAGGGGTTTCTTTGAATGTAACTTTTACTTTTAAAGACTCTTATGTCTCTTTTTCTTTTTTCATGCATCCTGTCTGGGTGTCTAATAACCAAAGACACACAGAAACACACATAAGCACATGATGCCAATTCAAAGATTTGTGCAAATTAATACATTTAATATTATGACCCTTTTAGATTATGCAACCCAAGAGAAGAACAAATGCCCAACTTACAGTAGCAGATTCCAGATCCAGCGGATCTAGGGGGCTGCTACTTGGGCTACAGCCCCAGATGTTTCCCCACCCAGTGTTGGGAAAGTTCTCTTTCTACTAGTTCAGAGTTCAGTTCACACATTTTAAAATGAACTAGTTCAGTTCATAGTTCATTATTCAAAAAAATGAACTAGTTCAGTTCTTTTTTTTTTTTTTTCATATATTGCTCAATTACATCATAGCCTACTGTAGAACCACAGACGGCAATTATTTTATCAGTTGTAACACTGAAACTGTGCGTCAGATTCCATCTTCATATCCAGTTTTGAATCCTTATCGAACCAGGGTTTACATTAGCATTGAGGGGACAGCATTTCCCCATTGTTGCTTTAACGCTTTGTTGCTGTCCATTCACTTCACACTTGTAGCAGCTGCAGCTTTCACCCCTACAGTACATTCTTAAAAACATCAGGAAAAATGTGCTGCTTGAATGGTCTTTTTTTATGAGGAATTATTAAAAGAAAAACAGGAAAGTAGTCTTTAAGGTGCAAATGTTTTTTTAATATCTTTAAAAAGGAATACTGGAATCCTGGAAAATTATACCAGGCAGGTTTAACAAACAAGTTACAAAAATAGTAAAACCCTCAAGAACATTTAACTAACAAAAACTGAGGGAGCAGGCTGAGGTAGGAATTAAAGGTTGAACTTGAAAGTGCAATATTCAAAGTGCAAAACATTTAAACATTATCAAGCCACTTTTCAATTTTTTGGCCATTGAATAAGTAAAATAAAAAAAAGATAACTTAAAAGACTCAGAGTCTGGTTCCAAGGCCATGGACTGTGCTTCTACTTTCTGTCCAGTGAGTGAAAATAACTTATAAACTGACTCATTCACTTAACTGAATGATTATCTGTCACTGGTTACAGTCCACATAAATAACTAAAATAATACTAATAAATGAAAAGTATGCAGGGCCAAGGACAGTGTTATTTTCTGTCCAGCCCAAAAATCCCTTATCTGAATGAAGATCCTCGGTCACAGTGGTCTCTCCCTGGTAGATCTGCTGTTTTTTCTTCCTGTAAACAAGATATGCCCTGTTATTTTCATGCAGTTCACCTCTGCACATCAATATAGTCATCTCCATTGGCAATACATTGTACTTCTACAGCCCAATAAACAGATCACAATAATATTTAATATACCTTCAAATCTTTTTGTTGGCATTCAAGATCAGCTGCTTCTCAAAGTTGGCATCTCCCAGGCGGTTTCTCCTCGGTCTGAATGAGATAACAAGAAATTTGAACATCATGATTATTATGGCAAAAATGGTAACACCTAATCTGTATTAAAGCAATTGTGAACTAACACAATCACTGACATAATTTGACCTAATTTGTATAGCCTATTAAAAACCTGAATTAGAATAATATCACCAAGAACTATTATTAAGGCTGGGTATTTACTGTGCTTATTACCAAATAATACTAATTATGTAATATAATCACACTTTATTCTTACCTGAATATTAGACCACCGATGCTAAAGAGCCTCTCTACTGGAGCGCTTGAGGGCAGGGCAGTGTTGTGTTTTATGAACAGCCTTCTGAGCTTTGGAAACTGCATGAATTCATCAAACCCATCTGTGGTTGGAGCATCCTAATAGGTGTCCACTTCAGATTTTTTTAAAGCCTCAGGATTTTTGTTAAATCTGAAGAATGATGCTGCAGGATCTTTCTTGTCACTTTTACCACTGGACTGGGCTTGACCTGAGTCTCTTGCAGCTGAGTCATCAGAGTTGAGGGTTTGAAATTCTCTTTTCAGCATCAATCTGTACTGCTTACTTTTTTCCTCATCGTGGACCCAGTCTAGCTTGAATCTTGGCACCAGCATAGCAGAGAGTATGTGGTCCCTCTTCTCCAGAAGACCTGCCAGCCTTGTGCTCAGTGACTCCAAGATACTCTTTATGAGGGGTCGGCATGTAATGAGACCATCTGCTGCAGTGGGCTTTTTGCTCTCATCCAACAGGTCATTCATATCACATCGCAGCTGCACAATGGTTGGAGCCAGGTAGCCAAGAAAGATGTTTTTCTCTGCTTGGGGGATGTTAAGTGCAAGTGCTAATGGCCTCATCACATCCACAAACTTGTGTATGAAGTTGACTTCCTGTGGAGAGAATCGGCGAAAGCCAAACTCATCACTCACAGTGTGCAAAATTAGCTCATCATGTAGGGGAGTGGCATCATTTTCAGGGGTTACCTCAGCCACATTCATTTCTACTTTGGAAGTTAGTTTTGCTATGCGAGATAGTCGCTCCATGGCAAGAAATACTGAATTCCATCTTGTGTCATTTGGCACAACAAAGCCAATCCCAAGCTTTTCCTCCACAACATCAGAAGCCTTTGTACTACGCTTAACCAGGTTCCACAGAGCAGATGCTTTTGCAAAAACAGCCCTCGACATTGTTTTGTAGCGTTTTTCAGTTACTTTTTCCGAATCTTTGGCCACTAGATTCAAGGTGTGGGCCATGCACCTTCTGTGTGGGGGGAGAGAGGGATGATGCAGATCTGAGAGAGGCTCAGGCTCCATCTGCTCATCCTCATCTGAGCTCTCATTGGCAGCAGAAAAGGCTGATACTGGTTCACTGTCATCTTCACTTTCAGTTTCAACTGTCTCTGGCGCGTTAGCATCAATAACAACATCCATCCCAAAACAGTTGAACGCTTTGACAAAATTTGCAGCATTGTCTGTTACTGTACACACAACCTTGTTGTGGATTTTGAATTCTTTATTAACATCTGACAATAATCTTGCCTACACGTCATGTGTATGTGCTCCTTTAATCCGACGAAATGCCATTGCTGCAGAGTGTCTCTTAGACACGTCAGTTTTGTTTAGCCTGTGGATAGTGATTCCCATAAATGCCTTGTTCACAGCTGACCAGCAATCTGCTGTTGTGCACACAGCATCGATCTCAGACAGTTCACTTTTAAGTTCAGATATTTTTTCTGTAAATTTTTTATTTAACAGTGTTTGTACTTGTTTTCTTGATGGCACCTGTCTGGATGGCTGCAACCCCTTAATTAAGTTTATAAACGCTGGGCTTTCCACTTTGCTCAAAGGCTGCAGGTCTCCAACAATAAACTGCACCACCAGGTTGTTCACCTGCGGCTGGGAGATGACAACGGAGCCGCTAGTGTACGCAGTTATTGGTATTTGGCTCGAGGATCTGTCCTGACTGTCTTTTGTTTTTTTAGCTGCTTGCACATACCTTGAGAGGCTAGCCGGGTGCTTTAGTTCTATATGCCGTTTCAGATTTGCTTTGGATGTTACCGAAGTACGGATTTTTCTACTGAAAGCCGGCGGGCAAAGTTTGCAGAGAAATGTTAGATTGTTTCCATCGTCCTCACCGACCAGCTGATCATAAAATTGTTTTAAACTATCATACTGCTGCTTTGTCGCATTCACGGTCGCCTGAGCCTCCATGCTGCTGTAGCTTCTACGCTGCATTTTGTTTTGATGACGCACGCGGCTGTAGGCTACGACGCTGGTAGCTGGTAGCCAGATTGGGTGTTTTCCCCGCTACATATTAAGGCCTGTTTATGGTGTGATTTAGCCGGGGTTCCGCCTGGGGGACTCTATAGAAATCTGGCAACCTATTGAACGGAGTTGAACTGAGAGAGCGTGCCGTTCACAGACACCAGAATGAACGCGTTCACAATAACGTTCACCAGGCAATAATACAGTACGTTCAGTTCACGTTCCCCAAAATAGAACGAGTTCATCAACTTTCGTTCAATGAACGCGTTCAGGCACAACACTGTCCCCACCCAGCTCTCGCTTCTGAGCTGATCTAAGTCAAATGTGCAGTACTGGAATTCAACAGATGGTGGCAGCATGCGCAGGGAAGCAGCCTGTAGCATTACCGTGCAGAAGAAGAAGTCGTCACCACTAGCTGTTGCTAAAAAGACTGAATCACAGGGATGTGAAGCTCTGACTGACTACCAGATGTTCTTTATGTCGGGTGGCGCATTGAAGCCAGAGAGTTGGACATAGAGGATGAGACCATCTTCACTGCGCTTCTGATCGATTTCTCGCTAAAAACAACTCATATAATCATGTCACGGTTGTAACATCAAGTTTAATCAGCAGCTGTTGTTTACAAAATTCTAAAATAAATAAATAAACGAGGCCCTTTAAAGCTGAAGAGAATCTGTCTTTTTCCAACTTCTGTCCCTTCAGACTGACAGAAATAAAAGTCAGCCACCCACCACAGTTTTCCTAAACATAACAGACACCCCAAGTTCCAAAAAGTCATTTCAAGTAGATGCTTATCCCCCCGCCCCCCCGGGGACAACGGACCCGCACTGTTCCCCATACGTTCACACTTAAGGCCAGCAACTTTTCAACAACTGTTTATTAACTAACAGTAATTTCTTAAACACAAAACAGAAAAGAATTGGTCTTTTATTTTCAATACTTTCAATCTTGTAGCCTTGAACATCGGTTGTGCTTTCTTTTTTTCATGAGACTTCAGCAAATAGTGTACCTCTCCACAGTGTCATCATTCCTCACCATGGTTCAAGACAGGGGCCAACGGGGGCCAGTGCCCCTGTTATGGCCACTGTAATGAAGACATAATACTTCTAACGATGATCTGCGCTGGAACAGACATGGTTACTGATAGGTCCTTTGGATCTATTCCATTCTTTTTCTTTACAAATTCTGTTTTACCTATTATTCAAAAACAATAAGGTGATAGCTTCAGTGGTACTGAGATAGGATCCCAGTTTTCATCTGTTAAATGTTTTTTTTTTTCACAACAAATAAAAAAAATCAAATTTTTTCAGATGAATTTGAATATGAACTTGAGTTCTAAATGAATTTTTATAGAAAACAGAGGTTTTAACTTAAATTAAAGCTACAGTGTGTAATTTTTTGCGACATCTAACGTTCAGACTGCAGACCGCAGCAACATGAACATCTCCTCCCCACCGCTTCTCCCCCCCAACAGTACGGCGAGCGTTACGGGACAAAATGTCTTCCACGACGTCCGCATCACCTACCTTCTCAAGTGATGAGGTTTGTTTACATAGATAATTTTACAGATAGTATTTCATTAGTCTGTGTGTTCAGTACCGTCTCAGTTCATCTCTCTCAACTTGCCGTAGTTACTTTCGAGCGTAATGGGCAATCTCGCAATCGCTAGTTTGTTTGCTCTGCGCTGCCGTAGCGCAAACATGTCTGCCTCCATGGCTGCGAGACCCGCTCCTATGTAATTATAAATAACGAATTCTAAGGCAACGCAAATATTAAGGTTAAGAGGCTGAGCTCGTAGATGATGATAAATAACATAGTTATGTATAATATATTAAATTTCTGACTGTATATCCCTGTAATTATTACACACTGTAGCTGTAAGTCAAAAAAATATGTAAAATTCCTAAATTATAAATGTACAGAATATTGACATCATAAGAAATAGAATTTTTATTTAACATAATTGAAAAGAAATTTCACTTCATGCAGCTCTCTTAATATGAGCAAGTGAATCAAATGATTCACTTGCCCTGTTTTTTATTTCATGCTTTTCTGTTTTATTTCATGCTTTTCCATGAAAACACACTGGCCCCCTCCTTCCTTCCTGGTACATTTGGTCTAGATCTGCCACTGTTCCTTACCTTCACTAGACGTGGATATACTTTAGTATATTCTGCTGTAAAATTAGTTCTACATTTTAATTTTTTACTCAACCTCTGACGTTTCACAGGATGCACAGCTTTAAGTGGTAACTAGGTGACTGTCAGAGAGTAACCCAGAAAAACTTATCGGACTTATCCAATCAGCTCTCTGATCAACCAGTCGCCTGGAACTCTGGTTGAACAGAGCATCGCTTTTAACAGACGCTGCACAGGTTTCACCAGCAACCTCCTCCCCACACCCCGCTCTCTAGTTGTCTGCGCAATCACAGTAGTTCTAATCCGCACATGATGCACAAATTGTTGCCTTTCTGCTCTTACTGGCAATAAAAAAACACCACCTCTCGTAGTCTAAATTCCGGGACAATTTATCTGACCCGCGGGCATCCGTGAACAACTATCAATATTAGAGAGACTCCCGGAACTTCTGGGAGACTTGGGATGTCTGTATTTATCATTTTTCATTACTGATATAAGAGGATGGAAACTGGCTGATTGCAGGGCACAGAAATGAAGAATTCCTGAAAAGATGAGAGTGCAGACTTTCTGGTAAATCCTGTTCTAATGTAAAATATACAGATTACTGGATTAAGGACATTTCTAGTCTACTACATGCTATCACACATAACAATTTTTCTTTAAATCTGGAAACAGTTGCTCTTTTTTCCCCCAATATATCGGTGGAGGAGAGGAGAGAATGGATATTTCAGCTGCCTAAAATAATCCATTCCCCCTCCATAACATGGTAAGAAATTATTTCATCTGCAGCTCTTTAACTGTGTTCATTCCTCTCTTCATCAACAACAAACTTTGTGGATTTGGTGACATTTTATCATTATTTGCCAAAGGTATGAGAGGGGAATCATATATTTTAGCCACCTGATATAATCCGTTCCCCCTTTTATGATCTCTATGAAATGTATTTTCTGTTTTAATGTTTTACAAACAATTTACAAA